GAATACGTTTTTGGACTTGACGTTGCGTACGGCCAATATACTTTGCTCCACACGAGCAAGTAAATTGATAAATACACATTGAGGTGGCCAAAAGCGGTATCTTGTCCTTCACGTTAGACTGGATTAACTGTCTGCAGGAGAATGTGATACGTAGAGTGGCTGCTGGAAATGTCTTCTTCAGACATTTAGAAAGGCGGTTTCTGAGAATTTCAGCTGCGACATCACCTTTGAATTCTAGGTTCATGAAGAGAGTCTTCTTAGGAACCGTTGTGGTGTTTGACATCGGAGGCTTCTCCTTCATGTTTTTGTCAATAAATCTTGGTGGATATCCATTCTCTAGTAGGATTTTACGTAATAAATTTAATCCATTCTCCACCATGTCTTCCGAGCAGATTTTTCTAATCCTTGAGCTCAACGTACGTATCAGGTTTCTCTTTCGGGTTAGTGGGACGAAGCTCTGAAAGTTGATAAACTGTCCAGTCCATGTTGGCTTGCGGTATATTGATCTTTGGATCGTACTATCGTGTCGTCTGGTGAGTAGTACATCAAGGAATGGAAATGCGTTGTTCGATTCTCTTTCTAAGGTGAAACTTATTGATGGATGCGCTGCGTTGAAGGTTTTGAGGAGAGAATCTAAATCACAATTTTCATCACAGATTATAAACGTGTCATCTACGTATCTCTTGTATAAGTGCAGTTGACTTATCAAGGGATTGAGGATGTTGTTTTCTAGACTCGCCATGAAGCAGTCGGCTAGGAGTGGACCGAGAGGAGACCCCATAGCTACTCCATCTTTCTGTACATAGAACTTTTCATTGAATTTGAACTGGATATTGAACGTACATCTGAGAAGAAGTTCCTTCAGGTAGTTTATTGGGAGAGGAACTTCTAGGTTGTTGGTTTCGATGTAATCACAAATGAAGCATATTGTTTCAGTTAGGGGGATGCTTGTGAATAGAGAGACGACATCTAGTGAGGTCATTTGTCTTTCAGACACGTTGACATCCTTCACTGAGTCGATGAAGTCAAATGTATCTCTGAGGCTATAATTTGTCATATGTCTTTGAACTGGTTCGAGGATATCAGCTAGCCACTTCGCGATTTGATGATATGGTGAGTTAACCATGTCTATGACCGGTCGAAGTGGGACATTCTCCTTGTGCACTTTAGGCAGTCCATACAGTCTTGGAATAGTTGAACCGCAAGGTTTTATTTGCTCATAAACCTCCGGTGTTATGACTGAATCTTCTTTCATTCTCTTCAGCAATTTTGTAAGTAGGTTTTCAGTTCTTTCGGTTGTGTCTTTCTGGTTGGGTGATTCGAAGAATTTGGTGTTATCTGATAGTATATCTGTTAATTTCTCATTGTAATCGGATCTATTCATTACTACAATACCATTGCCCTTATCAGGACGGACGAGGATTATGTCTTTATTTTCTTGGAGCTGTTTAAGTTGTTGTTTGTGTTCCTTGGTCAGTAGATAACGGTGGCTCGGTCGCGTATGAATGTACTTGTAACAGCTGTCAAGGAGTGAAGCTTTGAATTGATCCAGATCTTTTTCAGAAGTAGGTGACAAATCGGATGTCTGTGACATTAAATTCTCAAACTGTACTTTAGTTTGTAATTCGTTGAATTTACTTGATACATGGCAAAATTTTGGGCCAAGTGATAGCACTTGCATTTGAACAGGAGTCAGAGGAAAATTTGAGAAATTAAAGACGTATTTCTCCGGATTCTGTGGAAACGACGAAAGAGTTTCAGATGGTTTCAGGCTTTTTGTTAGTCGTGAATTGGTATCGTTGCAACGTTTTTGTATGACACTAGATACATAATCCTGAAATGTTTGTCGTTCGTCATCAGATAGTTCATATAAAGCATGGGTTCTTTGTGATATATTACGTTCAAGTTCGGGATTATTGATTATTCACTATCTCACACTTATTACGTCATGCCAACTTCTGTCTCCTTTCTAACTTACAATTAGTCATCCCTTCTTACACCTTACATTATGTAATACAATTTTCCAAGGACAAAATTTACCAGTATCTGATTGGTTTAAAAGATTTCTTTGTTAATTATAATTACGATTGTACAGCTCATGAAAATGAATCGTCGAAAAGA